CCCCGCCCGGCAGACCCGTATCCTTCATCCTGCATGCTAATCCCGCATTCCAACGGCGCATCCCGATCCCGCAAGCCGCTTCTGCATTCCAGCGCAGCATCCCAGCGCCGCACCCCTCGCTCCCCGCCCCTCGCCCCGCGCCCCTCGCCCGTGCGCGCTCCCGCGGCCGCACTACCGCTCCCGGCGCGCCCGGGCGGAGCCGCCGGCGGCGGGGCCGGGAGCGCGGCCGCGGGAGCGCGCCCGGGGGGCGCGGGCGCGGGCGGGGGCGCGCACCAATCGCGGCGCGGCCGCGCCCCGGCCCATCCCCGCACCGGGCGGGGCGCCGCGGCCGCGCTGCCATGAGCGAGCGCCCGGCGGGGCCGCCCCGCCGCGCCCCGGCCGCCCGCGCCCCCCGCCCCGGCGCCGCCCGCTCCGCCCCGGCCCCGGCCCCGGCCCCGGGCTCGGCCCCGGCGGTGCCGCGGGGGCGGCGCGGCTGAGCGCCCCGGCCCCGCTGCGCCGCCGGCCCCGCCCGGCCGCCGCCATGGCCGGTAAGCCCCGCGGCGGCTGCGAGGCGCTGCGGGTGGTGGCCCGGTGCCGGCCCATGAGCCGGCGGGAGGAGGCGGCGGGCTGCGAGCGCGTCCTGGAGCTGGACGTGAAGCTGGGCCAGGTGAGCATCCGCAACCCCCGCGCCGCCCCCGGGGAGCTGCCCAAGACCTTCACCTTCGACGCCGTGTACGACGCCAGCTCCAAGCAGGCCGACCTCTACGATGAGACCGTGCGGCCGCTCATCGACTCGGTGCTGCAGGGCTTCAACGGCACCGTCCTCGCCTACGGCCAGACCGGCACCGGCAAGACCTACACCATGCAGGGCGCCTGGGCGGAGCCCGAGAAGCGCGGCATCATCCCCAGCGCCTTCGAGCACATCTTCACCCACATCTCCCGCTCGCAGAACCAGCAGTACCTGGTGAGGGCCTCGTACCTGGAGATCTACCAGGAGGAGATCAGGGACCTCCTCGCCAAGGACCAGAGCAAGAAGCTGGAGCTGAAGGAGAACCCCGAGACCGGGGTGTACATCAAGGACCTCTCCTCCTTCGTGACCAAGAACGTCAAGGAGATCGAGCACGTGATGAACCTGGGCAGCCAGACGCGCTCCGTGGGCAGCACCAACATGAACGAGCACAGCTCGCGCTCCCACGCCATCTTCCTGATCACCATCGAGTGCAGCGAGACGGGGCCGGACGGCGACGAGCACATCCGTGTGGGCAAGCTCAACCTCGTGGACCTGGCCGGCAGCGAGCGCCAGAGCAAAATGGGGGCCCACGGAGAGCGCCCCAAGGAAGCCTCCAAGATCAACCTCTCCCTCTCGGCCCTGGGCAACGTCATCTCGGCGCTGGTGGACGGCCGGAGCACGCACATCCCCTACCGGGACTCCAAGCTCACCCGCCTGCTGCAGGACTCCCTCGGGGGCAACGCCAAGACAATCATGGTGGCCACCTTGGGCCCGGCCTCCCACAGCTACGACGAGAGCCTCTCCACCCTCAGGTTCGCCAACAGGGCCAAGAACATCAAGAACAAGCCCCGGGTGAACGAGGACCCCAAGGACACCTTGCTGCGGGAGTTCCAGGAGGAGATCGTCCGGCTGAAGGCCCAGCTGGAGAAACGCGGGATGCTGGGCAAGAAGAGGAGGAGGAGCAGCCGGAGGAAGAAAGCAGTGGATGGAGAGGGCGCCGTGGACAACGAAGGGGAGGACGAGAATGAGGATGGCCTGGAGAAGACCATGGAGAATTACTTGAAGGAGCAGAAGGAGAGGCTGGAAGAGGAGAAAGCCGCTATCCAGGATGACCACAGCCTGGTGAGTGAGGAGAAGCAGAAGCTGCTCCAGGAGAAGGAGAAGATGCTAGAGGACCTGCGGAAGGAGCAGGAGGCCACGGAGCTGCTGGCCATCAAGTACAAGGTTCGTGTTGCCACCCACGGTGACAAATGGGGCCGGGGTACCTGCTGTGCCCCCCGGCCCCTGGTGTGCAGTGGGAATGGATCCCAAGCGGGGAGCCAGGGGGAGGTGCCCACCGCGGTGCCCAGCAAGGAGACCTCCCAAGCGAGGTGTCCAGGCAGGCTCTGGCGTGGGGCTGGGCTGGGGTGGCCCTGGGACCTGCGTGGGGACCTGCGTGGGTGCTGCAGGGGTGGGAGGGAGGGAGGGGGTCGCTGGTGGCACGGGCGTGCTTGGCTCTCGTCCCTCTCGGCACAACAAAGCAGCTGGCGTGGGAAGGGGAGTGACGAGAGTGATGCTGCAGATTCCTCCCTGGTGGCCTCGGGACGGAGCCCCGGGCTGGGGCTGGGGGCACGGTGCCCCTGCCCCCAGCCGCCCCCAGTTCTGTCCAGCCCCAGGGGCTCTCTGGGGGCAGGGCCTGGCAGCTCTGCAGGGACCCCCATCCCCCTGCCCACCCCAAATCCTCCTGGCACCCCGAGCCAGAGCAGCGTGGATGGGGGCTGCGGGTGATCTGAGGGATTTGAGGGTGAGAGGGGCCGCGGCAGCCCCGGCTGTGCTGGGGGTCTGGGGCTGCACCTCCCCCTGCCCCACCCTGCTCCGGACCCCGCTGAGCTGTGGGGTCCTTCCCCCTGCCCATGGTGCCCGTGGGGCCGGGACCGCAGTGCCAGCGGTGGGGAGGGAGCCCCAGCACCCTGACCCTTGGCATCACACTCAGCACGGCCCCCCTGGCACGGCCCCCCTGGCACCACCCTGGCCCGGATGCACAGACTGGGCTGGAGCCCAGGCATTGGGGGGATCCCTCTGGGGAAGGACATGCCCGGGGTGCCAGGGCTGGCCAAGGGGCTGGACCCTCTTCCATGGCCAGGGTCGTGTTTGTTGCAGCCCCAGGGACACATGGCCATGCCCAGGGATGTGTGATGGTGCCCAGGGCTGTGTGATTGTGCCCAGGGATGTGTGATTGTGCCCAGGGCTGCATGGCCGTGCCCAGGGATGTGTGGCCGTGCCCAGGGATGTGTGATTGTACCCAGGGCTGTGTGATTGTACCCAGGGCTGTGTGATCGTGCCCAGGGATGTGTGATTGTACCCAGGGATGTGTGGCTGTGCCCAGGGATGTGTGATTGTGCCCAGGGATGTGTGATCCTGCCCAGGGATGCGTGGCTGTGCCCAGGGCTGCGTGGCCATGTCTGGATGCCCGCACAGAGCCCGTGGGATGCCACTGGGACGTGCCACTGGGGCAGAGCCGTGGGCTGCTGGCTGGCACAGCGGGTGTCCCGTGACGGGTGTCCCGTGACGGGTGTCCCGTGACGGGTGTCCCGTGATGGGTGTCCTGGCAGAGCAGGATGCCTGGCACGGGGGTCTCTGCAGCCATGCCCCCGTGGCTGCGGGAGCAGGCTGCGGGTGCAGGTTGGGGGTGCAGGTTGTGGGTGCAGGCTGTGGGTGCAGTTTGAGGGGTGCAGGCTGTGGGTGCAGGTTGGGGGGTGCAGGCTGTGGGGTGCTCCTGGGTGCCCAGATGTGTGTTGGCCACCCAGATGTGCTCCTGGCCACCCAGAACTGTGTTGGGCACCCAGATGTGCTCCTGGCCACCCAGATGTGCTCCTGGGCACCCAGATGTGTGTTGGGCACCCAGATGTGTGTTGGGCACCCAGATGTGCTCCTGGGCGCCCAGATGTGCTCCGGGTGCCCAGATGTGTGCCAGGCAGAGGGGCAGTGCCCCAGGGCAGCTGCCCACGGGGTGTGGCTGCTCCCAAGGGCTGTGCCAGGGGCTGAGGCCGAGGTGGGTGGGAGGAAAGGCGCCGGGGGTCCTTTGGGTGCCCGAGATGAATTCCTGGGCGAGCCTTGGTGCTGAAGGAGATCGGGAATCTCTTCCTTGGGGGATAAATGCCCTGGCATGGGGGAAGCAGTGGCACCGAGAACCCTCCTACCCTGGCACGGCTGGTGACAGCAGGGGCAGCTCCGTGGGAGGGGGTGGCAGCGGGACCCTGGTGCCAGCACCCTCCTGTCCCCTCCCTGCTCCCCGCAGGGTCCCCAGGGCACACCTGTCACCCAGGGCACTAGCTGGGTGCCAGAACGGCCTTTGGAGGAGCAGGGGTGAGGACCCCTGGCACCCCAGGGCGCCCAGGCCTGGCACGGGGTGGCACAGGATCGGCTGGGCGCTGCCCTTGGGGGTGCCAGCCCCCAGCAGAGCACCCAGCCTGGGCCACCCATGGGTGGGGAGGAGGAGGGATCCCCGGGGTCGGGGGGCTGGCGGGGGCACCCGTGGGGGGCTGTGTCCCCACAGCACTCAATGGCTGCGGGTGTCCCCTGGGTGCTGCTGGC